TGTTTCTTGCTAATGGGAGAAAGCCTTAATAAAGACTGAGAATGCACACAGAGGACCACACTGTGAATCTCTGGTGACATGCTTGTCACCGCATAGGTATCCAAGACTATCTCTCTGTGTAGATTAAACGCTTTCTGCTCTGGGATGTCAGATTCTCAGTCTAATTAACAGTACATCCTGAGAGAGGGAGACGATGAAAAGAGGACTATAAAAAAAAAAAACAAAGATGAGCAAAGCAACAGCATTTGAGTTCACTTGGAACGAGGAGATGAGCAGCTGCAAAGACGAGAACATTGTCAGAGGGAGAGAGAGAAAAAGAGAGATGGCTGGGTGTAAGTTTAATAGAGTTGGATGGATGGATCTTTGGGAGGAAAATAATGTAATAACTTTTTAAACTCCATTAGATGAGGAATTGCTACCTCATATTTTGACACTAATTGTATGATAACAGAAAGAGATTGTAAGGAGAACGGGAACTCATTAACTGTGACAAGTTCTGCCCTCATATCAACACTTTTAACAAAGCAAGAGACAAAATGTCAACCTTTCTTTTTGCTCCATGCAACATAATAAAAAAAGTCTTTACATTTTGGATTTTCTTTCAGTGAATAAATGTGTTTTTTTTATGTTAAAGGTGCAGTAAGCCATTTCTGAGCAACAATGTTGATCTTTGAAATCAATCCAAGGCTTCAGCTGCCGTGAGAGCGCGTGAAGGAAGGAGCCGTTCTTGGCATGCTGGATGAGTGGTTTCTTTCTGGCCATAAGTCACCAGCTCCCGTGAGCCTTCCATTCCTTCTAGATCTGCATATTAAAGGGATACACCACTTTTTTTTTTTTTTTTTGGAAATAGGCTAATTTTACAACTCCCCCAGCGTTAAACAGTTGAGTTTTACCGTTTTCGAATCCATTCAGCCGATTTCCTGATAAGAATATCAGTAACCAGACAGTTTCTGGTCTCATTGACTTCCATAGTATATTTTTTCCTACTATGGAAGTCAATGAGACCAGAAACTGTCTGGTTACTGATATTCTTCTAAATATCAGAAAAAACATCTGAATGGATTTGAAAACGGTAAAACTCAACTGTTTAACACTGGGGGAGTTGTAAAATTAGCCTATTTCCAAAAAAAAGTGGTAAAGTATCCCTTTAAGATCAAGAAGTCATGGAAGAACCCATATTCTGCACACATCCGTCGCCAGCAGCGAGCAAATTACGCTGATGTTGAGGGGATGCGTGAACATGGGTACGTATGTGTTGATGCCCCCAATCGACGAGACAAAAATCAAACAAAACTAACAATTTTATTCAACTATTCGTTTCCTTCTCTGTGGGCCTCAAGCACATAGTGTAACTGCGCAGCGCTTCTGGGTTGTCCCTCACACGCATCACACATGACCAGCGTTGGCCAACAGTGAGCCTACGTGTGACGTACAACACAGAAGGACTGCACAGTTTCACTACATGAACTAACTCGAGGCCCAAAGAGAATGACATGAGCAAAAGTTCCAGTGTATTTTATTTAACAGAAGTCCCCTTTCAAAGCCTACAGGGAACGTCCAGTTTGGACTACATCCCTCTACTTCCTTATTTAATGATGTAATTAGATAACACAGTCTCATCCCAAAAAGTCATATAACTGACGTTTTGGGACGTATTTTGACCATACGTCAATATCAGCCTTTTTAGGGCCCCCTTAAATGTCGGTAGATGGCGATCCCGGGCCGTCATACAACTGACGCTTTACCTTTAACGTCAGTTAGGTGACGGGTTAGGTTTAGGGTTAGGTTTAGGTATGGGGTAGAGTTAGGATCCCATAACCTCATCTACCGACGTTTAAGGGGGCCCTAAAAAGGCGAATATTGACGTATGGTCAAAAGACGTCCCAAAACGTCAGTTATATGACGTCTTGGGGTGAGACCGGGTTGAATTAGAACAGTCTTTTGACTAATCTCCGCCCACATGAATTTCTATAAAACATATTACTATTCAAAATTCGTGCCATTGTTAATTCGACAGACGAAAAAAAACATATAGCACAAGCTTATATAACAGTTTGTAACATTTAGCATTACAATTTAACCATTTAAAAGTATGACAACAACTAAATAAACAGCTTACCACTGTGAAACATCCTGCAAAAGTTGTGTTTGAAGAGGTTCTAATCGATTGATTCTCTTCATCTATGTTCTCTAAGTACAAATTGATATGGTAATATGTTTGAGATTTTTACAAGAACAATCAGCACATGCATCTCCAATTAATGGTGAAAATACGTGACCTTTCCGGGCAACGAGCGATAACAGGAACCGCTGGCACAATCAGAACTCGTTACGCATTTCTGAAGGAGGGACTTCATAGAACAAGGAAGCCATCGGCCCATTTTTTGGACAGTGAAAACGGCAGTATACAGATAAGTAAATTGTGTGAAAAATACTGTGTTTTTTTAAACGCGAAACATAAACATGTTATATTGCACAATGTAAACACAATTAAAGCTTCAAAAAACATGAAGAACGGGTCCTTTAAATCTCTGGATTTGACAAATGCCCTGGCGCGTTTTTCTGGAATTTTTCACATAGCATTAAAATAGACTTAAAAATACTCTGTTATTTATGGTCATACAGGCTTAAGAAATATGAAAAAATAAACTGTTAAATATCTACTTTTTTATGTGTCCACTTACAATAAAAAACAGTGTGCTTTTATAAAATAAAGAAAATAGAGTGCCAAAGTTATGACGTCTTTGAACGAAAAGCAATGCGTTTTCCCCATAGACTTTTGGAAAATTGCAAAAAATATGATCTGTTTTAAAACAAAGAGTTGTGACCCTTACACGTTTTGTCTATCAAGATAATATTTACAAGTTCATTTTGAAGCCTATAAAGTTTAAAAACACAAGCAGACACAATAAGGTTTAAAAAACACAAGCAGGTTTTATTTAGGTTTAGGATGTGTTTTATATTATAGATCAAAACGTGAAAATATTTAGAGGCTTTGTTCACCACAGACCTTATTTCAGGCAATTTAGCAAAAACCAATTCAAAAAACCCATAGACTTTAGGGTAAGGGAACCAGAAGTGCTAAAATGCTAACTCACTTCCGCGTTTTGGCCAACAAAGTGACGTCATAACTTCGGCGCTCTATAAAAAGGATGTGCTTTCTGCCTCTCCGTCTCCGTGAACTTTTTTCGGGAGCACGTCTCTAAAATTAAACAAAACTCAGCGAATACTATTCACCCAGGCAAGAGCAGTATATCTTTTTAATCATTTAAAATGAATTATTTTGAAATATATGCATTTATAGTGTGTGTATATAAACAAATATATATATTTTATAATGACATTATAACTGTAGAATTACGATTACTGTAGGCTAATATAGGCCTATGTAGCAGGGCATTCAGTTACTTTTCAAAGGACAAAAATAAGATGTCAGAGTATTTCATTAGACTTGAACTTTGCCAGCTATAAAAAAATAGCATTTCCTCACGTTTTACCACTGATTTTAAGTGACAGTTGATATGCATGGGCCACTGGCCGATGATAGTTATCCCGCCCTCCCCTCTCCCCTGCCGTGCCACACTACCCACTCCCATCTTCTCACAGCCATCCATGCCCATTTAAGTTGCATTTTTCAAAAAGATTGTGAGCTAGACTTGAGCTGAAAGAGGGGGGGTTTCATTCCCTTTAAGCGAATGACCTCCTGACCTCCTGTCATCAGTGGTCAGCTCTCTCTGCTGTTCTGTGCTACTGGCATTCTGTGTTGAATTTGAGCATATGGGTCACACTGTGGCAGAACAAATGTACCATAGAAGCATCCAGGCATTAGTATTAGGTGTTTGTGTAGAGTCTAGACAACAAATAATAGCAGCAACAAATCCAGGGAAATGATTTTTTGCAAGGTGACTCACTGCAAAGTGAGCTGCACAGTCGGTGTCTGAAGTGGAAATGCCATTTCACTTTACTAGATACATGGGTCAATGACACATGAGGATGTCTGAGATCATGAGAAATGTAGTTTAAAACACATGTGGCATGTTTTTAGAAATATAACTTTTGTATTCAGGGTAGTTTCATTCATATGTTTTATAGCACATTTATAGCAAAAAAACATATAGCAGTTTTTACACACACAGACACACACACACACACACAAAAAGAATGTAAAAAAGGCGAAGTGTCAAGTGGTGCAAGCATCAAGTAAAATGAATTAATAAGTTTTCCTTGCACCTAAGATTGTGCACAACTTAAATTTATTTATTGTATTACTTATTATTACTTTATTTCTTTTATTAGGCCTACTTATTATTACTTTGTTTATTTACTTATTTTATTTATCTAGTCTATACATACAAATAGAAATAAAATGAATTTCGAGTCACAAACATGTCTTCAAAAGGTCGTAATAAAAAAATAACAAAGACACTGACCTTGACAGTCGTGAGAATTTAAATGGACATTTTAATGTTTTCTGGTCACATGACAATAAAATTGCTCCCTGCATGTTGGTTATGCCATAATGACTTTCATTTGGAAGACATAAATTCAAATATTATCTCAAATATTATTTTTTTTTTTTTTTTTGGGGGGGGGGGGGGGGGGGGTTTACTTTATAATAGTTATACCTATAATATAATTTTAAGAAATTATATTTGAATTATTATAATATATTACAGTTATACCAAACTAATCACCAAATGAAATCTCCAGAGCTAACGTTACTTTAAGCCCCACAAAAACATCAGATTCAGAATGACTTTTAATTTAGAAAATGAGAATATGTTTACCATAGAAGAGGTTATTTCTGCATGAATTTCATTTTATGATGTCTTTGAGCGTATAGGCTACTTGTGCAATATTTGCATCCGAGATTGCAACTGGCTACATGATCTACAAATGCAATGCCAATCAACCAGAGATAGAGAGAGAAACTCATGCATGTTTTACAGCTGCCTGTGTCAGATGCTTGTTTATTAAGCACTGCTGGATTTTGCACTCACCTTCCTCAACAGTTTGAGCACGTCCGTCGCATCTTCTATCTTCCTCTCCTGGAGGAGCTTCTGAATCTCTCGGACCCATGCGACTCGTCTGACATACGGGCTGTGGTTGGCTCTCCTCAGAACCCCCGGCAGCTTATCCGACCTGAGCATCAGGGATGTAAACAAGAAGTCTCCGCTCCGGTCGCTCTCTCCCGTGCTGTCTAGATGCTTCCGTCGCTTCCTTGAAAAATTATCGTTGTCGAGACTGTTTTGTCGGCTGAGCCTAGAGCCCATGATTTCAGTCACGTTCAAAATTAGTGTTACTCTAAATACGACCTTTTTACCTCTCACGGCGTAACCATGACAATAACGCCCAGCGGTCCCCACATCGGTCCGAACTTGGGTGGCACACTCGCGGTCTGCTTACAGCCTATTTGTGCAGTTCGTCCGACGACACACGCAGTAATTTTAGCAGCGGGGTTGTCAGTGTTTTGTTCTTTATGCCAGCTCTCACGTCCTTGTATTTGTGTTTGTTGTCAGTAGGACACGTCCGCCTGATGCTCTGGTTGGTATTCAGTGGATGATGGTGATGCTCTCCAGCACCGCGCGTGGATCATTACTGCTCTGCTGTCCTGCCATTGGCTCGCGGTGTTTCGTGTATGTGCCCCACATGTCAAGATAAATGTGGTGGTGAGGGGACATCAAAACATTTTAATCGAATTTTAATTGAAGTTTTTAGTTTTAGTAACTGAGGGTGAATTAAGTTATAGTGAATATCATCTCCAATTTGAAAGAAACTAGAATCAGTTATACAAGTGAATTGAAACTTTTGATAAATTTGCCTCTCAGATGTTTCTTCAGTTTAAAAAGACAATTCAAGGATTTCTTAGTCACAATGTTCTCAGATTTGTTGAAATTTCAGTAACACACGTTTTCTTCAAATTCATCAAAATAGAAATTAGGCCTATATATGCTCTAATCTAATATTATTGAATTAAGGGTAACACTTTACAACAAGGTCTCATTTGTACACATTAGTTAATGCATTAGCCTAAAGCAAATCTGTTTATATTTTGTTACACATGTCTGCATTATATATATATATATATATATATATATATATATATATATATATACGTACACACACACACACACACACACATATTCGCCGATAGGCTAGGCTATATCAGATTTTTAAATCACCATATATTTGTATAGGCATCTGCCTTAAAAATCCTTTATCGGCTGGGCTCTACTTCATACGCAGGGTAGTCATCGGCATGGTGAAACCCCAGATAGGGTATTTGATGTCTCATTTACATCTGGAAGATGTATTTTTAAGAGTGTTAGCTCATCTGCAAGACGTCAATAGGACGTCAGATGTCAAATAGGCGTTTATAAGATGTCAGTTTAACATGCATTCTAAATCATTACATCTTAGAGACATCTTCTAAACGTCTATTTGACATCTGCAGGAAACGTCCTATAGACGTCTTGCAGATGAGCAAACACTCTTTAAAATACGTCTTCCAGATGTAAATAGGAGATCAAACAGCCTTGTGCTATCTGGGAAGGGCGTCATTTGAGGTGTTATCGTGTTTTCCTGAAATTCGGACCTTTAAGAACAAGAAGTCCAAATGCACTCTATTTCAAAGCAGCATCCACTGTTCCGCTGCAAATATAAACGTCACAGAAAAAAGACTGTTGCATAAGGTCCCCAGGCAGTAAAGTGTCCCTCCTGCTGTTAAAATGAAAGATATCCACTTCAACTGCCAGGAAGGAGGGTGGCCAGGAGGGGAGGTGATGCAGTTGTACCCAACCTATATATTGTTGATCATCTGTTTCTTCGTAAAAGGGAAAGACAGTGAGAGAGAGAAAAAGAGGCGCTGAAAGTCAGCTCTTTAGATACAATTGTGGTCACTGTGGGAAGCTAGTTCGATTTTGACAGACAGGTTAACAGGTTAGGGTTAGACGCGATCCTATGGCGTCATCTAACTGGGTGCCTAAAGCGTCGGATATTGAAGCATGGTCAAAATGCTTCCCAAGGCGTCAGTAAGATGACGCCTAGGGATGAGAATGAGCTGATATGGATCACCAGGCCAGCCTGGTTGCATGTCAGCATAATAAATATTAAACTGTTAAAGTAAAATGCTTAACACATTCATGAAGATTCAATCTGTGTCGCAGGTCTTCTGTTGGCATTGAATGTCCATGACATATTTGGTCTCAGTGAAAGCCCTATGGCTGATAATGTGGCCTAGATGGTCGCTTAAGCTTTTCTTTTTTAGCTGCTGTAAAGCTTTTCATTAATCTGTTATCTTAAGTGACAGATTGAATAGACTTTAGCAACAGACCTTGCTGATGTCCCCATCTGATTTGCAGACTTTTTTTCAAATTATCTGCTGAAACTCCATCTGTATTTTATTTCCAATATGAAGGCAAACTATATGGACACGCACAAAATGAGTCCCTACCAAGGGTTGGTTTTATTGCAGCCTGTAGTAGTGTAGAAACTAGTAGGACTTTTAGGCTGATTAAAACTCATTCAGTCATCAATTTGCTTTTACCATTTTATTATACTTGACATGTAGGAGTAGACATTTCTTAGGTGCTAATTGTTGGTTCATGGTCAACAACGCAACATTTTCACACAGACCATCTATGAATGGAGAGACGGCTTCTTAGGCCCTGTTTACACGGGAACGATTCCAGGTGAAAACGTAAAAATATTTTATCGGATGTGCCTTTCGTAAAAAAACAAAAACAAAACAAAACACTTTTTTACACAGCGACGGCGTTTTTGGGGCTTAAAAAACACCCTCCAGAGTGGAAATCTTAAAAACGCTCCACCGCGGCGTTCCCGTGTAAAGGGAAAAAACGCAAAAGTCTGCTTGACCGTGAAGGTTGTACGCAGGCACGTGGACTTGGTGTTGTTGTGTGGCAGTGCTCCACATTGCCACCTAGCCGCCTGGAGTGCATACTACATTGAATTTCACACACTTTTGCGTCACCTATGCACACGGATTTCCCACCCAAAACGCTCGTCTAAACGCAGAATAAAAAGTGATAACGCAACGCCACTTTTGCGTTTTCTCTTCAGAATCGTTTCCATGTAAACATAGCCTTAGATACAAACAAGCTGAGACTGAAGCATGATTAGTTAGTGGCACCAGGTGATCTTATCAGGACTCAATCAGCCAATCAGATCACAGCAGGATTTTCTACAAGTAGCATGAGTGGAATATTCCAGTAAATATGTCAAACTCCACTTAAATGGGTCAAAACAACATTCTCACATTAAAATAAGTTGTTTGGTTCTGCACATTGTTGCTTAACAGATGAGTGCTTCTGTTGTGTTGTTACGTGTAAGTAAATACAATTTATATTTTCATGTACACACTAGTTCATATGTGAAAATAGATGTCAGTGAAATTCAGTGTTATGATTTCATATTATGTACAGTCTCAGCAATACCAGTGGTTGATTGTTAATTACCAAAACATCTGTCTGTCCAAGTCACTGCTCCCCTTAAATAACTAAAACAAGACTGTCCATTATATCAGAATGAATAATGCGAGGTTATAAGCATTTTCAAAAGGGCGTTAGGAGCATGTATCATTATTAATTCAAGATAAGGTAATTCAGTACTAAGATACAGTAAATGAGGGCTGAATTTGTTTTAATGGTTTCAAACTGACTTGACTGAGTGTTCGATTGCAGCATTAATGGGATGAATTAATCAAGTAACGTGTCATGATATGTTGTCAAACTCATTTCCAAATCAAATCCGTGAATTCCAATTAGGCGAGAAGTTCATTTTCTCTCTCTTCCCCTGAACATATGCACAGAAACGCTCTTTATCTATTTTATTAATTAATTGAAGTTTAAAGGACTGCTGAGTGACAATGCATATTAATAAATCCACAAAAGTGTGTGACACATAATGGGAGGAGCTGAAGACATGCTGACATGCACAAAAGGACTCTTGAACAGATCTAATGATGCTTCTTGTCCCACAAGTGTCTTGTCCCACACTGAAAAATGCTGACCGGTTGTTTTTACAGTGACATTTTTATGTAACTGTGCTCTTTAACACCAGTTACAAGGTCATGGAATTTTCTGTCATTGGTACAAAGTGCCAAAGGCCTGAAATGATCTTTAGCATTCCTCAATGGAGCAATTCATCCTGTCCTGGGGAAAGTTCCTGGAAGCATGACATTTTCAAAGTCAAGAATCCCTCATCCCTCATCATGTAGCTGCAAGTCAACACCAACATGCTGCATCAGATGTGTTTCTTTCAAATCTTACGTAACAGGAAATGCTGACTCACATAAATAAGCTTCAAAACTGAGGCCCAAAAGTCTAAAACCACCAGTGAAAATGCTAATTCAATAAGCCACATTCATTACAAATTATATTATCAGCATAAAAAATAGGCAACAATATTTCAGTAACATTACATTAATGGCTACATTAAAATAATTTTCACAATTTCTAAGAATGAGGTGTGAGACATTTTGCTGTAATGAAGCCAGTGCTGAAGCTGTCACAGACATTTTATTCAAAACCGATGATCCATGTTATCCATCATGATTTCAGAATGATCACAGTGTGTCTTGTTCTTCAGCGGAAGAAATAATAATTGATCTTTTGCACTAGGAAATTGACATGCCTATGTCACACATTTACTTGTTTGATTAGTGACCAAGAAATACTGCTGATTTCTTACTAAATGTCTTTATTTTTGTAGCTTTTTGTGTGTTTTACAATATTTAATCCTAGAAAACATCTGCCCACTTTTACAGTTTTAAATGATTTTTATTCAATCTGGTTTCAGACTCTTTTTTTTTTAAACCCCACTATTATTTTGTTGTTGTTTCAATGTCTAAGAGATTAAGGGTGGGGAAATGCATTGTCATCAGGATCTTGCAGTAGTTTTACGTACTGTACCCGTAGGTCCTAGCTTTTAAAAACAGGGTGAGGTTTCATGTGAGTAATACCTGTTTTTACTGTCAGGACTTTTTGAAAAATAATTTTAGCCAATCCCCCATGTGAAGTTGATTTATAACCACTGGAGTTAAATTTTGATTAGCACAGATTATATCTGTCCCCAGTCCCATTCACTCGTGTGGCGATACACTTACAAGAAAAAGGACACGGTTTTATGAATTATTAAGGATTATAGTTCAAAAGACAAAATCATCTGTAAGGTATGCTATGTCTGTCTGTCTTATATATCTATCTGTCTGTCTATCAATCTGTCTCTATCTTTCATATTTTGTCTCTGTCTATCTTTTATCTGTCTTTTTTTCTGTCTATCTGTCTGTTATATTTCTCATGTTTCTCTGTCTGTCATCTTTCTGTCTGTCTCTGTTTCGATGTCTCTATCTTTCATCTTTTGTCTGTCTGTCTCTGTCTAAATCATCTTTCTGTCTGTCTGTCTATCGGTCAGTCTATAGCATCTATTTGTCTGTCTCATCACTGTCTCTATCTATCTATCTATCTATCTATCTATCTATCTATCTATCTATCTATCTATCTATCTATCTATCTATCTATCTATCTATCTATCTATCTATCTATCTATCTATCTATCTATCTATCTATCTATCTATCTAATGACTTGTCTGATTGATAGATTGATAGAATCTGTCTCTGTAAATCATCTTTCTGTCTGTGAATCTAATTGTGTCTGCCTGTCTATCAATCTTCTGTGTCTGTCAATTTGTCATCAACTATATCTGTCTGTCTGTCTGTCATCTGTCTATCAATCTCTCGCAGTCTAGCACCTTTCTGTCTGTCTGTCTGCCTGTCTATCTATCTCTTTGTCTATCGATCGGTCTCTGTCTGTCTATATCATCTATCTCACTGAACTGTGAGTGTGTTTTTTTTCAGATGTTGTTGGCTGCCTTCACTTCCATCTGTTTTAACTTTTGACTGTCTCGAAATGCATGTATGTAATATTGGATTATAATCTGGAAAATAAAATTTAGGGATTGTATCTTGTGCGACTATGGCTTGGATTTACAGGGTTCAAACAGATCACAATTTCGTCCCCTTGGAATTGTAAGGTTCTAGCTATCTGACATTTTTGTCAAAATTGAGTTATTCACATATTCTTATTCTGTGACAATTTATTTACATTATGTGATGTGTTTTGTACATTTGGGGTCCCTGTTATTTTTATGTTTGAATGAAACTTGTTCCCCATACACATTTTCCTATGTGGAATGCAAAAACTTTGAAGCTCAATATATCAAAACTGTTCAGAACGCAGATAGAACCTTATAATTCCAAGGGGACGATTTGTAGAGTGTCATGACATTGTAGATTGCTGAGCATTATTATTAAACTTATAGGACAGCTGTAAACATTGGTGATGATAGTGATGTGTTACTGTAAAGGGTTTATTCAACAGGTGTTATCCATTTCTCCTAAAAATGACCTGAGGTTTACACCCGTGCTTCACTGTCAGAAAAAAAGGTACAAAAGCTGTCACTGGGGCGGTACCTTTTCAAAAATATATGCACCCTTTAGGTACAAAAGTGTGCCTTTTGAAAAGGTACCGCCCCAGTGACAGCTTTTGTACCTTTTTTTCTGAGAGTGTTCTATTCATAAACAGCACATGTTGAAAAGGTGATCTTGTATTCTTTTCAGAGGAGAAATTTTCTCTATGATCACAAAAATTGCATGTCATATACTGCTGCATATATTTGAAACTCGTGAAAGTACAGTTCACTAATCATCTGAGAATGATGAAGTAAATTACATTGAAGTGGAGCTGATAAGCACATGTCAGTCTACAAATGAAATTGTGTGTAATGAGTGATGATCTCAGAAATTTCATCAAGCATATCTCAGAGGTCCTTTATTCACATTCTGTATCCATTCAGGAAAATGGTTAAGAAGTCTCTTGTTGCTGGGCTGATGGTCTTGCTTGTGGCTGCAGTTGGTTTTTTCATTGGTGTGTATTTGGGGATCAGAAACAGGAAACTCGCTGTATCCTCGGACCACTTCTACTCAAAAGCAGCAGTGGCAGCAGATGCCGGGACGTGCTCTGAGGTTGGGAGGTAAGAGTCCAAAGATCCAGAGTTTCCTTGCATGCCATTGAACATCACTTTACACACCCAGCTTTCTTTATGTTTGCAGGGACATCTTAAAGCGCAATGGTTCAGCAGTTGATGCTTCCATTGCTACTCTATTGTGTGTGGGGCTGTTTAATGCACACAGCATGGGCATCGGAGGAGGGCTGTTCTTCACCATATACAATGCAGCAACAGGTAAAACACTGATATTAATGCATTCAGCTGATGCTTTCCTAGGGATCGAATCCATGACCTTTGCGTTGCCTTTATTGAACACATTGAATTAAATGTAGAACATACTCCATATTATCTTTACAAAAATCATTTAAACTGCAGGGCTCCACAAAATGTACATCTCTTTCTAGTAAGCCTGGCACTAAAGGACATTGTTTTAGGAATTTAATATGACGCAGAGGTTATTTGCCATTCAGCAGATACTTGTCATGCAAAGTGACATACAGTACATTCATTGATATGACATACCCAATAGCGAGCTGGGGGCAAGTGCCTAGAAAAAGGGCACAAGGTTTGACTCAGCATCGTAGTGACCACAAATCTTACGTCACTCTTACTTGGTAGTAAATGTCAGCAAATGACGTGAAAACCACTACCTCGTTGAGTCTTGTGTATACTCGACGTGTCTGCACGAGCTCGAGTCTCCGCTGACTTGCGGGTGCATCGAGTATACACGAGTGTTTAGGTGAAGCTAACAAGAGTAAATAACAATTGATTATGACTCACAAGCCTTAATGTTTTAGTCATTTATAGTCTTCATAAACAACACTCAAAATGACACGGTCTTGACAATGAAATAAATAAATTCCATGTTTTTGTCCACAGGAAAGGTGGAGACAATTGATGCCAGAGAAACTGCTCCAATGAACGCTTCAGAGAACATGTTTGGCAATAACACCCAGCTGTCACGGAAAGGTATCTTTACCATTAATACCATAACGTATAACCAAGTCCAGCCTCCATTTTGTATTATAATTGCGTTACTTAGTAACAGTTCAACAGTTCAACGGTTCAACACTCCCACTTAAACATAAATAAATAAAATAACTCTGGCATATTTTCCTGATTTTCTTCTGCAGGTTTGTCACATCACATGAATTTGGTGGACCAAAGTTTTTTAAATATTAGTGAAGCACTTTTTTTTTATTCATATTAATTTATTATTTTTTTAAGACCTAGGCTTAATAATACAAGTGTATGCCAAACTACACTACGATCAAAAGGTTTTGGGTTGAAAAGATTTTTGGTAACACTTTAACTGCACGCTATTAATAATTTGTTGAGCATGAGTAAACAGTTAATTCATCATTTATAAAGCATTAATAAACATTAATAAGCTGTTTATAAATACAGCTATAAATGTTATATCGATAATGCGTTTAATTGTATTTTCATACTTTGTTAATGATCAATTAATAATTTCTAAATGATTGCAGTATTTACAAAACTAAATTGTCAGTCATTAAGATCAAGTAAATGTAGTAAATATAGGGAGTTATAAAGCATTTAGTAGTGGTCAGTAAACTATTTTGTGAGCTCATCTAAAGTGAGAACTATTCATACCTTGTAAAACATTTATAAAGGAGATTTAAAGGTGCATCAATCTTCTAAACAGTAAAATGTAACAAACACAAAACAGTGATACAGAACATAGAAATATTTAACAGTATATTATACTGTTAATATACTGTATGATCATTATACTGAATAGTTCTCACTTTAGATGAGCTCACGAACATAGTTAACTGACCACTACTAAATGCTTTACAACTACCTGAATTACAGCATAAATACATGTTAATAAATTATTTATTAACACACTAAGTAAACCGTCACTATATGTCTGAATAATAAGATGTATGAATGTACATTTAAATAGTTTATTCATCATTTACTTACACACTCTAAGTAATGTAATGAACCACTGACAACTCTCAAATAACTGGTTTATAAAAAAATGCCATTCTTCTTTTCGAAATGATAAACTGATCATTGATAAAGGATGAAAATACAATTATTAAACAAATTATAGATATGCTTTTAAATCGAGAAGAAAGCATTTATGAAGTGCTTATTAAAGTGAAGTGCTTATTGAAGTGTCTATTAATACTTTATGAATGACCAATTAACTGTTTACTCATGCTTAACTATAAAGATTATTAGCATGTTATTATAAAGTGTTACCAGATTTTTTTAATGTTTTCGAAAGAAGCCTCATATCAAGGCTGTATTTATTTAATCAAACAGTAAAAACAGTAACACTGTGAAATGTGATTACAATTTTAAATCATTTTAATATTCTGATTTGGTGTTCAATAAATATTTCTTGTCATTATCAATGTTGATTATGTTGAATGTTTTTAATCTGATTAAAAAAATCATCAGAAACTGTAATAGGATTCTTTGAGGATATACGTAGGTCCAAAAAACAGCAGTTATTTGAAATGTAAATCTTTTTGAAACATTTTGATCAATTTATTGAATCCTTTCTGAATGAAAGTCTAAATTTCTCTCAAAATTGTTTCTTTCAGAATGCATTTATTGGTTTAAAGTATTTTTGAATACATTAACAGATGTCATGTCATCATTAACCTTATTGCAGTGCTGGCCCTTGAATGATGAAAACACTGTACTGTGTCTTGTTTGAATGTGGCAGGAGGGTTATCCATCGCCATACCAGGAGAAATCCGTGGTTACGAGATGGCGCACAAAAGACATGGGAGACTGCCATGGAGGGAACTGTTTCAGCCCAGTATAGAATTGGCACGCAATGGTTTTCCAGTTGGCAGGCCCTTGGCCAATGCCATTGCAAAAAACAAAGAATCAATTCTGAGTGACGTGATGTTGTGGTAAGGATTTAGCTTTTGGACACTGTACAGAAACTGGGAAATCTGAAGAAAATCTACTTATCATAAATGAAAATGGCACATTGAGTTTCTCAGTGTCAAATAACAAGTGTAGCAAGGTATACGGTTGTGTACTGTTGTGTAATTTGAGATTGCATCAATAATTCTACTAATATTAAACGCATAACTAATCGAAATGGCCACACTCTATAAACACTGCCTCTACTAGTGGTTTTAATGAAATCATAATGATCTTTTCCTCTCTCTGTGTTCCAGTGAAGTGTTTTGTGACTCAAACAAAAACCTCCTGAGGGAAAGTGATATCATTAGATTTCTCAAACTCGCTGACACCTACGAGAGGATAGCGGAAGAAGGGCCCGATGTTTTTTACAACGGATCTATGGCCCAGAACATAGTAGATGATATCCAGGCTGCAGGTCACTTCATACTTTCTTTGTTTAACACTATTTATCATGCCTTAAAGGTAATCTAACCTCATTTCTCAATCTGTCACTACAGGAGGGATTATAACACTTGAGGACCTAATGGAATATGAGCCAGTGTTAAATGAGACTCCGTTGAAGTTAACTGTGGGGGAGTACACCATTAATATTCCTGATGCTCCATCCAGTGGACCTGTCCTCGCCCTAATTCTTAACATAGTGGATGGTGAGTCTTTCTGCATGCTTGCATCCATGGATCGTTCTTTACAAAGTATTTAAGCCTTTAGAGATCGTGTTCAAACATTTGATAGAGATGACTGAGTTATGGATAACTATGAGAGAACATGTTGTTCTTTGAACAGAACTTGAGTACCTGCATGATGATTTCACCACCACAGACATTAATTAACTCACTAGAGACGCTATGTCAGAGTGCAGTCTTCATTGAGTCATCCAGGATTACGCAAAAGAGCTTCGTTCATGAGGGCGAGCAGCATCATGTTATTACGAAAGAACGTACTGTACATTTAGCTGATCATTATTGCGTTACAAGGCGAGCAGGATAAGATCTTGCGTCACCCTAGAGGGTCTGACATTTAAAGACCCAGGACCAGATATAATGAAAGAAGACCAGGAGTCAAGAGATGCAATAAATTAAAGAAAATCTGGTAACAGTTTATTTCTTTATTTGGTAACTTATTATCCTAACCTGACCACGAACAGTATACTGACAGTCCACTACAGCCTACTAATACTCTAATGAGAGTAAGTTGACATGTAGTTGAAAAGTTACTTATAGTTACTAGTAGAATGTCCAAAGTGGACTATCGAAATAAAGTGTAACTGAAGAATTTTACTGAAGAATAATTTGCTGTTTCATCAGCACAAGTCAGCTTCAACAAGTTCATAGGCCGCTCCGTGTATACACTCATTACAGCAACAGTTACACTCTCACACAGTCATTATGTCATCATGACAGGATGAATGGTTCTGATTGCTTAAGACACAGATAGACTTTTTCCTTAAAAATGAAAAATGACCTTTTTCAAGGTTGAAGTTGGTTGAGATTTTGCTCTGATCGGGAAACTTTTCCAGAATTTTCCAGTATTTGCATTTTCACTGAAATCTATGAAAGAGATTCAAGATGCCAGTGCCAGTTTTGTTTACATGAAAAAATAGAGATGAATGGACTGATACACAGCATTGACATTGATAATGGAGAATATTAGAAAATATCTGACTGCAGAATTCCATATTCCAGAGAGTATTCCAGAGAGCCATGTAACTATGACACAGGATGTAGTTTCTGCATTCCACTGTGCTGCTTTTCCATTTTTTATCTATGTAAACAGTACATTCTTATCCCAAGGCGTCATGTAGGACAAAAGCCAAAGTGTTTGGCCTCCAACGCACATGGTACCCTTTAGCGTCAATATGAGACGCAGATATTAATGGGGCAGAAGGCGGCTCCTAGTGGTCTAACGCTAACCCTACCCCAGACCTAAACCTACCCATACTCTGTGCATGTTATAGTGACGCTAAAGGGTGCCATGTGCGTTGGATGTCTAAGCTTTATATATATGACGCCTTGATGTAAACATATATTTTTCTATGTATCAACCTCTTTTACAGTGGAATTGTCCCTAAGATTTACTGAATTGTGTAAGCAAAGTAAATGTTTGTGTTTTGATCTTATGGAAATGTATTACAGTAATTATTGACATCGAGCATTCAACTCTCGTTTTCTAGGTTACAACTTCTCAAACAGCAGTGTGTCTACAGCAGAGAAGAAGACTTTGACATATCACCGCATCGTAGAGGCATTTCGTTTTGCTTATGCAAAGAGGAGTAAATTGGGAGACCCGCGTTACCTCAACATTACTGACGTGAGTTCAAATATTTTGTACATGTTTCCTTTTTTGTGCCTTACACGAGGAGTTATGGGAATTAAAGCAACCCGATCTCATGCAATTTTACTCAAGATTTGTGAAGTGGTTTAAAGAGTGCTTTTATTGTCTGACTATATTTTCCCGAGGTCTCTAACTGTTCCGATTTCATGCACCTACGAGTTCAATTGCCTCTTGTAAATCTCTTTTCAATTATCTCCTTTCCCAGCTCATCCAAAACATGACCTCGGACTACTTTGCAGACAACATCAGGAGTAAAATCACAGATGACACCACTCACCCAGACATCTACTACGATCCCGAGTACTTTGTACCCGATGACCACGGCACGGCTCACCTGTCAGTCATCGCAGAGGATGGGAGCGCGGTGGCGGCCACCAGCACCATCAACCTTTAGTAAGAGGAAAAAAAGTGCACTAGACCTATGTTTCTCACTTTATTTATGTTTAAAAACAGTGTTTGTCTAACAATAGTTATATAGTCTGCTCTCATATGTCAGTCTGGATCCCTGAGAAAGAAAAATATGATTGTTTTTGGTGTCAAAAAACATTGGAAATGCTGTATTTGTGTTCTCTTCATTTTGATCTGATTATCTTGATCTTTCTTGTTTTCTCACAGTTTTGGCTCTAAGGTGATGTCACGCTCAACTGGGATTATCTTTAATGATGAGATGGATGATTTCAGCTCTCCTTACATTACTAATGGCTTTGGGGTTCCCCCTTCACCCAACAACTTCATTCAGCCAGGTGTTGTGGGTTTTACAGCCTAAAATAAATGACAAATATTGCCTCTTTTTATTTCTATAGACACACTGGTCAAATTCAAGTGAAGACATGTGCATACTACTTTTTTTCTTTTGAAAAGGTAAAAGACCACTTTCATCGATGTGTCCCACGATAATATTTGACAAAGACAACAGAGTCAAAATGGTGGTTGGGGCCTCAGGTGGGACGAAAATCACTACAGCAACTGCTCTGGTAACCACAAATATCAAATTCTGTTTAACATCTGTAAACACTCACCTAAAGGATTATTAGGAACACCATACTAATACTGTGTTTGACCCCCTTTCGCCTTCAGAACTGCCTTAATTTTATGTGGCATTGATTCAACAAGGTGCTGAAAGCATTCTTTGGAAATGTTGGCACATATTGATAGGATAGCATCTTGCAGTTGATTGAGATTTGTGGGATGCACATCCAGGGCACGAAGATCCTGTTCCACCACATCCCAAAGATGCTCTATTTGCTCGGTGGTGACTTTGGGGGCCATTTTAGTACAGTGAACTCATTGTCATGTTCAAGAAACCAATATAAAATGATTCGAGCTTTGTGACATGGTGCATTATCCTGCTGGAAGTAGTCATCAGAGGATGGGTACATGTTGGCCATAAAGGGATGGACATGGTCAGAAACAATGCTCAGGTAGGCCGTGGCATTTAAAGGATGCCCCATTGGCACTAAGGGGCCTAAAGTGTGACAAGAAAACATCCGCCACACCATCACACCACCACCACCAGTCTGCACAGTGGTAACAAGGCATGATGGATCCATGTTCTCATTCTCTTTACGCCAAATTCTGACTCTACCATCTGAATGTCTCAACAGAAATCAAGACTCATCAGACCAGGCAACATTTTTCCAGTCTTCAATTGTCCAATTTTGGTGAGCTCTTGCAAATTGTAGCCTCTTTTTCCTATTTGTAGTGGAGAAGAGTGGTACCCGGTGGGTTCTTCTGCTGTTGTAGCCCATCCGCCTCAAGGTTGTGCGTATTGTGGCTTCACAAATGCTTTGCTGCATACCTCGGTTGTAACGAGTGGTTATTTTAGTCAAAGTTGCTCTTCTATCAGCTTGAATCAGTCGGCCCATTCTCCTCTGACCTCTAGCATCAACAAGGCATTTTCGCCCACAGGACTGCCGCATACTGGATGTTTTTCCCTTTTCACACCATTCTTTGTAAACCCTAGAAATGGTTGTGTGTGAAAATCCCAGTAACTGAGCAGATTGTGAAATAGCAATGCCACGCTCAAAACCGCTTAAATCACCCTTCTTTCCCATTCTGACATTCAGTTTGGAGTTCAGGAGATTTTCTTGACCAGGACCACACCCCTAAATGCGTTGAAGCAACTGCCAAGTGATTGGTTGATTAGATTAGCCTAGAAATCTAGACGCAGCCTAGTGGCAGCAAAAATTATTTTGCAGCAAAGTGTGGTCTAGCAACTCTCCGTTGGCTTTTGAAGTGGAAAAACCAAACTCTGGTCAGGCCAATCACATCATGTATAGAGTTGGTGGGCGGGCTTAACACAATGACGGCAGAGTTGTGGCGGTTCTGCGCCGTGATTTCCATAGGTGATCTCCCTGATACTTGAAAACAAGGTGGAGCTGGCGAACACCGGTCTTTGGCCGCCACTTGGAGTTAAGAGAATGTCACTTAAGTCATACTTAAAAAAGGAAGATGTGTTCAGAGTTTTGACGATATGGCAAAAGTTTAATATATCAACTTGCTCCGCTGGAGGGAAAACCATGGGGAAAACGTATGGGACCCACTCAGCCACAGCCATTCATTGCTCTGGTTGGTTCATTGCGCTGTCCTATGGCGTGCAGAGGGATATTGAAAGACAACCTTTTATCCCAGCCCTCAGATTGAGGTATGCCAATTGTGAGTTCCCAGACCTAACATCTTGATAGTTCTGGCTTGCCAGGCTATGATTAGATTGCATATGAGAAATTGAACAGGTGTTCCTAATAATCCTTTAGGTGAGTGTATATATTGGATGCATGTGCCAAACATGCAGTAGTGTTTCCGAATCATGGCTTTAAATGTCTCCCTTCACTTTTTCTCTTATAACACTAATTTCACTTCTCCCAGGTGATCCTGAACTCATTATTCTTTCACTACGATCTTAAGAAAGCGGTTACAGAACCAAGAGTCCACAACCAACTCAATCCCAACATGACAGTTGTGGAACAGGACTTTGAGCAGGTGGGTTTCTCCACTTGACCACTCAACTTTCTTAATTTATGTCTTATAAAACAGTTTACTAACTCTGTAAGGCCTGTGTGACATGATTCCACAGAGTGTTCTTGATGGCTTGGCTCAGAAGAATCATGTAACGGAGCTGCTGAGAACCCCAGGAGCAGTAGTGCAGGCCATTGTGCGACAAGGGGACAAACTTTGCGCTGAATCTGATCCTAGGAAAGGCGGCTATCCTGCAGGATACTGAATGCCGTCGCCACTCCCTCTCACCCTTCTCACATTTTCTGGACTTTCGTTCATTGTTGACAAGATCAAGAACCAGGAAAAACTAATGTACACATTCAAAAACAATGCACCTCTCAGTCCAACAATCAACATGGACTGTGGACTATCCATGGACTATGACTATTGCATAAATACTCCCTGTATTTATTAACTTTTCTTTTTGATGAGAAAATTTTAAATCGGTATCAATAGTGCCTTACTTTCATATTGAACGGTCTATGGTTTTACCAAGCTTATTTATTCCTTTTGTGTGTAGAGAAGAGTATTGATTATCAGTATGTGTGGGTCCTTTGGTACCTGATTCTATTGTACAGATTCTTTGTTGTGTGATTGAGCTTTTTTGGTTAAAGGATGTTTGACTCTTGGTCAAGTCAGGGAAATAAGAATGAAATTGAAATATTACAGGTATTTATTGTACATAATCCTGACTCAATGGGAATTAGATTCTTCCCAGCTAACAGGGAATGTTCTTAGAACTTTGGCTAACGTTCTGGCAAGGTTCTCCAGTGACGTTAATGCAATGTTCGTTCAAAGTTATCTGGTCTTTAATAATGTTCTCAAAACATTATCAGTAAATCATTGATCATGGAACTTTTTTTCTTAAACGTTTAAGTTAAAAAAAATTTTTAAATGTTACTACTTGATTCAGAATCTTCATAAAACATTCAAAAGTAACATTCCCAAAATGTTAGCAAAATGGAACGTTTCCTCAAAGTTCATGTAACAAAGAAAATGCTTTTAAAACATTTAAAAACTAAACATTTTGAACATCCAGGAATACATGGAATGTTAGCAAAATGTTCTTAGAACATATTTGTGTTAGCTCAGCTGATATTCAAAGGGATAGTCCCGGCCTGCGGCAGGATGGAAGGCCAGGGTGGAGCAGACCCTTCAGGCTACCAGGGCAGCCAGGACCCTTCGGGCGTCCAGGGCGGAGCAGGATGCACAAGCGGTGGCCAGGGCGGTGAAGACCCCTCGGGCGGCCACAGTGGAGAAGACCCCTGGGCAAAAGTGACGCGAACAGTCTCTGGATCGGCAGACATGATGAGAACAGTCTCTGGCTGGGCAGACATGATGAGAACAGTCTCTGGCTGGGCAGACGTGATGAAAACAGTCTCTGGCTGGGCAGACGTGACGTGAAGCAGCTCTGGCTCGGCGGGCTGACGTGAAGAGGGGCAGGCATGGCGTGAAGCTCAGGCGTGACGTGAAGATCAGGCTGGGCAGATGTGACGTGAAGAAACTCAGACTTGGCAGGGATGATGGCAGCCATCCTGGGAATGAGAATCAGGCATAGTCGCTTACTTGGACGGAGATTACTATTTAATGCTGCTGGATTCATAACTGCTCGTCGTTCTGTAACGTTGAGGCAGGAGTGAAGCAGAGAGAATCCAAGTGCAAGCATTAATTTAATAAAAAAACAGGTAATCCAGGGCAAACCAACAGAACATGAACTCAGGACACTGAACTCAGGACACGGAACTCAAAGCAGGCGCAAGAAACAGCTACATAAAACAAATGACCGACAACCAACAACTGAAGCACAGAGGTTTAAATACACAGAAAAACATACTAAACAAGATAAAAGGGGGGCGGGGCTAATTAGAAACACCTGGGGAGACGCATCATCAAGAAAAACTACAAAGGACTACAAAACATGGCATAGAACAGGAAATAACAAAAGACCACAGAAGACAAGTAAAATACTGGACAGGAATCATGACACTTATATAAATTTTTTATTTGTTTTTGTGTTCAACAGAAGAAAAAAATCATATTAGTTTTTTATCATATAACCATTTTATTTTTGGGGTGAACTACCTCTTTATGCTTCTATTTTAATGGTAGACAAACTGGATAACAAGACACTGCTCAAATGTGTTAGGAAACTATTACTATCTACTGTATAAGATGAATGTTCGATTGAAGCAGCAACCAACATATTAATTTTTAAATAGTGAACTGGAATGATATTGTTCTTATGGTGAAGATAAGCTATTATTGACATCAGAGCCATTCATAAGTAAAATCCTGGGAGAATGGCATGCAAGGCATCAGATTACCTCACTGGACATGTAACTCTATACAGCCATTCTCTCCGAGATGACTTTCATAATGTGAAATGCTGAATCACAATAACAACTGTTTTTCTGTTATAAGTAAATGACTTGTTTACATAAAAGAGACCTGAGCTTAAAGGTAGTTAAACATTATGTTCACTTCAGGTCTGAATGTTACATTAGACATCTGCAAGGCAATATATAATGTAAGGTGTGTAACTGTAACTTAACAAAATTTAAATCAAGCCATGAAAAAGATTATTAAGAGATACCCAGGTCCATCATAACAACATCTAATGTTAAACGTGTGTAGAGATATTCTAGAAGTCCTGGTTATTATCTAAAGTTAGTCTGATTTTATGTTGAATTACATTATGAGCTATCACTAGACTGTTGAACGTTGTCTTTTTTTGTCACCAAATCATAAAACTGCAATATCATACTGTATAATGATTATCACATTCAAGCTATTTCATGAAGCTCGAGATGTTAATGTTTATCATGAAATGACACTGTGGTGGAAATGTAAAGTGCATTCAGACAAATAAAATACATTTGTGTATATATTTTTTAAACATGCACTGTCCTCTGGCTGTTGCTATGCTGTTAATTAAACTGTTTTGGATCGATAGATGTTTGCCGTCGCATTCACTAGTGTTCTTATACATATTTTAAGAGCTAATTACTAAATAATTCAAGCTGTATTGAATGTACTGCTGTACTGTGTTTTATGAAACAGTGCCAGCCCTTTTGAGCTCTATAGGCAAAAACATGTTTTGAAAATTGAAAGGCATGATAGTCAATTATCACATGCCCAGTCAGCAGCAACACACAGGAATACATTTTTATAAAGGTAAAGAGCAAACTTCTTTGAAAGAATGATACCAATCAAGTAAACAAGATTTAACCTATGAACTAATGAAAATCTGGTTCGAAAGGCCTTTAATACAGGTGTAGTATAATTTCTGCAAAAATCGTAAACTATGTATGTCACTAGACATTAAGAAATCATTTTCATTTCACAAACTTATGTCACTAAACAGTAGTCCGGCCAGGATATTGTCATTTAAAAATCGAAGTTGCAGCCCTCAACTGATGTTGATGTTGTCATGTTGTGTTTTGGTCTGATGCTCCACCCTCCACCGATCTACCAATCAAGGAGTCAGTAGTGTTGTGGCATTCGGGTTGTCAGCTCTTCTCTAGCACAGCTGCAGATCCAAACGTGTCAGAATCGGATAAAAAATGTCTAATGTTGCGAATCCAAAAAAACCTCGATATGAATCCGAAACACTGTGACAAAGTCCGAAATAAATAATTAACAGGAAAAAAACTCACTGTGTAGGAATCGTCACTTGCCATTGGATGCTTCTTCTAGAAGTCTACGGTTCTGCAGGATCCAACAGCATATCTGGCAAACTCGAGTCAATACACCACTCTACAGTAATTTGGAAGTCATTGCAGTACAAGTTTTGGCCACAGTCTTGCATACAGCTACTACTTTAAGTAATTTATCTCTAGAAATGACAGTGGAAAACGTTAGTCAAACGTGACAATTACACTGTGCCTTGTTTCTGGCTTCCATGCCCGCGCCTATGCCGCCGCCGGTCAGGCCGCCTCGGCACTGCACTCTATGTCCATCCTCCAGATTCTCCAGAGTGACATTCTTCGTGAGTGGGCTGAGAGCGGTAAAAACCCCCCTGCCGTCTCGGATTTAAGGGGCGCTACGGATCTCGCCCTTCGCGCCACAAAGGCCGCTGCTCAGGCTCTGGGGAGATGCATGGCCGCCCTTTGCATGTCTGAGAGACATTTGTGGCTTACACTCACCAACATGGGAGACTCTGAAGCGCCGCTTTTCATAGCGCGCCTATCTCTCCGACCGGCCTTTTCGGATCCGCCGTCAAGGGCATCGTTGACCGGTTCTCCAAGGTTCAAAAAGCCACCGAGGCCATGAATTTGTTTCTGCCCCGCCACCCTAGCTCTGCTGCAGGCCACTCCCGTGACCAGCCCCCTGCTCGAGCCCCACCCCAGCGCCTCTCTCAGCAGGCTCAGCCTTCTCAGCGCAGACAGGGCGGCCACCCTCGCTCTTGCTCTGACAGCCGCCGCAGACAGCCGCCTCCCCAGGGGCCTCGACTCAAGATCGCGCTGAGGCCCGATCAACCGAAGTCTGCCTAGCACAGCTGAGAAAACTCAGCTTCGCCCTCTGTTAGTCCCCGTTCTTTCGCCGACTACAGCAGTGTTCACCGCCACAAACAAGCCAGTCTCTCCGCCCGCTTGCGAGCACAAAAACGCTGTTTTCACGCCGACTCAGAGAAATCTCAAAAAGAGCAAAAAGGCCTCTTGTGTAAAAAATGTGCCCACATCCCTGTGTTCACCCTTATACACAAGCACCACATGTCCCGTGTATCTCTCAGAGCCCAGCCCCACAAAGCGGACACAGCCCGCTCAAGTGTCAGAGTGCATAAGCGCGCCCACGATTCTGTGTGCACGTCACCCCTCTGCCCGCTCTGTTACACGGCCCATAAACTCCTCTCTGAGTGTAAGTTCCGTTGCCATAAACACTCTAAGCGTGCCCACACATTGTGTCCAGCCCGCTGTGTGCAACATTCAGGGCGATATAGCCATTCACCCGCTAGCGTCGCACTTCAGAGCGTGGGAAGCTATCCCGGGAATATCCCCATGGGTGCTAAGCACAATAAAATACGGCTATCTGTTACAGTTCCGTCGCCGCCCTCCACGCTTTCGGGCGTGGCTCGAAACTACAGTGAGTTCAGAAGCAGTAATCACGCTTCGCTCAGAGATAGAAAAGCTTTTGTGCAAAAAGTCTATAGAGAGAGTTCCGCCTTCTATGAGCGAGTCTGGGTTTTACGGCCGTTATTTTCTTGTCCCCAAGAAAGACGGCGGCCTCAGACCGATCCTAGATCTCAAATTGTTGAACAAAGTGTTCATGACGAGACCGTTCAAAATGCTTACAGTCAAAAAACTCCTCGCGCATGTACGCCAGTGGGACTGGTTCATCTCTCTAGATCTGAAAGACGCCTATTTTCAGATCCAGATAAATCCCCATCAACAGGCCCTTTCTACGTTTCGCCTTCGACGGACAGGTTTATCAATACACCGTCCTCCCATTCGGCCTATCCTTAGCACCCCGTACGTTCACGAAGTGCATGGATACGGCGCTCGCTCCCCTGCGGAGTCAGGGGCTCCGAATTTTGAATTATTTGGACGACTGGCTGATTTTGGCACAATCACAGACGGAGCTGTTCTTCTCTCATCGTACAGTTCTCCTCGACATCTGAACACATTGGGCCTCTCTGTCAGCTGGACAAAGAGCTCTCTTCAGCCCAGTCAGACGATTTCCTTCCTGGGAATAGATCTAGACTCAGTGACTATGACGGCTCGCTTATCTACACAGTGCGCGCGCCGTTTTCAGCGTCTCGCCACATCCTTTCAGATGGACACCCTCACGCCTCTGAAAACTTTTCAGAAGGCGCTGGGTTACATGGCCTCAGCCTCCGCAGTACTTCAGCTGGGTCTACTGCACATGCGCCCCCTTCAGCTTTGGTTAAAGAGCCGTGTGTCTCACCGTGCGTGGACCACGGGCTGCCAGCTGATCAAAGTTATGCAGACCTGTATCTCGGCTCTGCAGCCATGGACAGTGGCAGAATGGTTTCAACGGGGCGTCACCATGGGGACAGTCTCTCGCTGAAAAGTCATTTCGACAGACGCATCCAACTCAGGTTGGGGCCCAGTCTGCGAGGGCTCACCGGCCTCTGGCCACTGGTCAGCTCAAGAGAGCTCCCTACACATTAACTGTCTGGAGATGATCGCTGTCGAGAACGCGCTCGCGTTTTTCCTCCCGAACCCCCCGCGCCCCCCTTTGGTTCCGATTTGGGATCTTTCTATAGTTCTCGAAGCTATGAAATCCCCCCGTTCTAACCATTAGAGTCTGTGGACCTAAAATACCTCTCGCTAAAAACCGTTTTTCTGCCCTGTCATCAGTAAAACCCGTTGGAGACCTTCATGTGCTCTCTTCTAGCGCAGCGTGTCTCAAGTTTGGACCCAATGACTCAATAGTCATCCTCAAACCTAGACATGGCTATGTCCCCAAAGCGATTGGTACCCCGTTCTGGGCCCAGGTTATTTCCCTATCGGCTCTGCCCGCTTCCGATAGCGAATGTGACGCCAATCTCCTTTGTCCGGTTCGGGCTTTGAGATTGTACTTTTATATTCACACATTATTTTCCCACTTATAAGGGTCCCCCGGGATCCCCTCCCCCGGGACTCATTGTGGATGCTTAGCGCGCACAACGTTGACCAAGTGTTCCCGTAACGTAAGCTAGCTTACGCAATACGAGAGAACCTCTCGTAATAGAACGAATTGGTTACCTAATGTAACCTCGGTTCTCTCTAGATGAGGGAACGAGTATTGCGTTCCCGGCCGTGCTTGCGCTTCTAGCGTTTTTCGCTTCACTCTGAAAAACCACCTTACCAGCGTCCGGGCTGGATTTTTATACACTCGAGCAACGCCCATTCTGGCAGGCTATGACGCCACGAGAGCGTATCGCTTCTCATTGGCCGAGAGTTCAGCCCAGCTCTCCCACAGAGCAGTTCTCTGTGAGCGAACCAATGAGCTGCTAGCTAGCCCGCTCATGGTCTGTTGCAATTGAACTGCGTTGACAATGGATACAAATTATAGGATAATTTTTTGGCTTCAACTTCTCAAAAAAAGATTAATCTTTCCCGTAGCGTAAGCTAGCTTATGCAATACTCGTTCCCTCATCTAGAGAGAACCGAGGTTACGTAAGGTAACCAATTTGTTTTTTCTGACTTTCTAATGAAAGAATCCTGAAAAAAACTTTTCATGATTGCCACGAAAGTATGAAGCAGCACAATAATAAGAATGATAATAATAAGATATATCATATTTTTTATTTATTTCATTTAATTTGAATTAATTTTTTATAAAATAAAAACAGCCTTGGTGAGAATAAGAGACCTTACAAAACAGTAGCATATGTATATTTTTAAACAAAAGTTTATAACTCTTATTTGACATGTTTTAACATTACAGGCATTACTCCATAATGCAGTAGCAGCCTGAAAAAAACATGTAAGTGAAGTGCCTCAAGCTTTGTCTGTGTGATTTGCATATTTCACTGTTGACTTTCCTCAGCAGGGAAAAGGCAGAATAAAAATATTCAAGGAAGCATTCTTTTCTGCAAAAGCCCTGAAGCTACTCGCTGACAGAAGTGTGGTCACCTGAATGCTCATAACTCACTGGGGTTTTGTTGTGATTCATGAATGTTCCGTCAAAGAGTTTTCAATGTGGACATTCATATTTTGAATGAGCTGAAAACTAAGAAAAATCCACTGATTGACACACAAAAGGCAAAAGGCGCACAAGTGTCTGACAGTTGTATTGTCCCACAGCTGGCAGTTCCTGAGGGTGACTGTAAGTTTTGCCTGAGGAGAGATGATTCAGTATTCTACTGTCAGACAGGAAACCCTCTGGCTTCCGTGTGCTCTCAGCTCCAGGATGAAAAGCATAAAGGAATGAGACCGAGAAAGATCTTGGGCCCCAGCAGGCAGAATCAGGACTAAAGCTCCCCTGTGGACTTCAAAT